AGGCAATATCTGTTAAATGAAAGCTTTATGTTTTTCTTTTTTTAAAGGCCATGGGGTGATGTGAGTAAGCATCAGGTTAGGATGTTCTATCAACAAGGAAACAGGGTCACAGATACAAAGCTCTGTAGTCAGACCATGTGGATTCAAATTTCAGCTCTGCTACTTGGCTTTGTTTCATTTTCTAGTCACTTGAACTGCTCTGTATCTGCACTTGCTGGTATGTAAGATAGCAAAATCAAACACAAACAAAATGATAATAACAAAACAGTAATGAGCAAAAGTAAACTTATCACATGAGGCTATAAAAATGCAATGGATCTGTAGCTATGGCTTTGTCTATGTCTATAAAAGCATTTAAAACTATGCTTTGCACACAATAAGACTCCAATGGATTATAGTCATTTTTTTTTATAGAGAGAGGAGGGTGAGAGAGAATTTTTGATATTTATTTATTTATTTTAGTTTTCGGCGGACACAACATCTTTGTTTGTATGTGGTGCTGAGGATCAAACCCGGGCCGCACGCATGCCAGGCGAGCACACTATCGCTTGAGCCACATCCTCAGCCCAATTATAGTCATTTTTTAAGAGGGTTTTCATCAGAACAGTGCCTGGAATGTAGTAGGCACACAGCAATTCCCTTAATCTTTCTGGGCCGCAGCTTCCTTTCCCAACACTCTGTGGGTCCATGATTAGTCTACACGTTTTATTTGAAGAGCATGATAAAAATCACAACAATGGTTTGTCAAATGAGTGACTAAATATGATGGTTTTGTGATTGCTTGTCTCTAGTTTTACCTATTTCTCTGTACTCTCCAGATAAGAAATATGGCTGAGAACAAGTTCTGGATAGAACTTTGGGTAGAGTCAAAGGGACTGATCTCAGGATTGGGGAGACAGACTATTAATTCTCTCCCGGGAAGAATGAGTGAGCACTGGGAATTTTAAAGTTGGAAAGGATGATGATGACCAGAGAGAAGGAACATTTTAGCTGAGGGAGTCTGACCCCAGCACTGCAGAGTAGGGACTCTACCTGTTGGGCTGCCCTTCCCTGGATATTTGCCTAGATATCCTTCCACCTCTCCACCCTTCAGTTACATCCAAAATAWTAATCTCTTTACTGGCTTAGGTCTGAGTAGGTGTCAGAGAACCAGAGTTTCAAGGCAGCAGCAGAAGAGTTAGTGAATTATTTTCTTCCAAATAAACACCGTCCTTTGTTTGTCTTCAAAAAGTGATCACATGTCAAAAGGAATCAAAGTCATCAAAAGTGACTAGAAGTGCAGTGTAATATAAAAGGAAGGCTGGCTGTGCTCTTCTCTGGTGGCTGTTGGACTCTGGGCAATTCCCTTAATCTTTCTGGGCCGAGGCTTCCTTTCCCAACACTCTGTGGGTCCATGTTTTATTTGAAGAACATGATAAAAATCATAGAAGATCAACTCTGCTGTGGTTAAAAACTTCCTTTTGGGAAAGAGTAAGAGAGAAATCAAGAAAAATGATCTTGATTTCTGGCCACAGAAATTCTTGGAGTCTGGGTTAGAAGTCAAGGTAGTCCCTATTCTAAGGACATTAGGGGGATTCAGTGAAAATCTTGGCAAGTAAAACAATGGACCAGAGAGGGGGAAAAAAACTGTAGGAAAAGAGACCAGTACAGAGATTGGAGCCCAAATCCAGAGCCTTACAGAGAGGAAGAGACGAATCTCAGGAACATTTGAAGAAACTGAGAGACAGTGTCTAAAAGTAAATCAGATATTTGGGGGGAAAGATGGAAATGGCTTTTTTCTTTAAATAATTAGCACTGTGACATTCTGAGTCTGAGATGACTCAGGCTTCAAGCCTGAGTGATTAGGTGATGGCGTGGCTATTACACAAGGAGAAGAAGAACAATTTAGGGGAAGATCTTGATTTGGTTTGGGATGGATTGAGCTTGGGCTGTTATCAGGACACTAGATGGACACATAAAGCAAGCAGTTATGATTTCATAGCTGAGGGGTGAAAATCGAGGGTCAGAGAGGACTTAAGGTCCTTCATAGGAGCATGGAAGAACTAGGACACTGGGGTGTTCTCATCACCCCCAAACTTTCCTCAAAGGGAAAGAAGACAGCCTTTTCTAGGGTGGAGGAAAGGCTGTGATGGTCATCACAGGGTCTGAGCTGTGTCTGAGAGTGAGGTCAGGGTATGTTTGAGATTGGGGAGAAGCATATACATCACTTTCAAAGTATTGAGCTTTGAAAGGGACCACTCAGCAAAGGAGGTCAGAGGCTCATTGAAAATTCAGCAATTAAGGAAATTTTATGTTTTAATAGAATATCTTTTATTTACCACCGTGATTTCTTCCTATAGAGACTTACAATGTTGAAATGCAACCCTGGCAAGTGAGATTTTAAAGATTAATAAATGAAGACCATTCTAGAAACATAGAAAAGACATCAACTGATCCTTTAAAGTAAAGACTCTCTCATGCCTGAACTCCTTTCGCTGCCTTTGTTTCCATGATTAAGATGACTCTCTTTAATCCAATTCAAGTGGCTTTTCTTGCACCCTTCCTATGAGAAAGAGAAAATAGCTCTGCTTCTAAGCTCCTTATATCTCATCCTGAAAGCCTSACATGGATGCAATAAGCTATTGACCACTACTGAAATGCACCATAAGTACTGACTGAAATGACATCAGGACACAGTACTGGGAAGTGGGCAGGGGAGAGCAAAATCGTGGAGGAGACATAGACCATAGTATGTTTTAGGTAACTACAGTCTTCCGCACCTTGGAGAAAAATGGAAGATAATTTTAGTTAGACAGAGTGGGTTCAGGCTGAAGAGATCTTCATTTAGATAAGACATTTTGGTTGCAAGTACTTGACGACGACTTGAGCAGGCCGAGCTGTCTAACACAGTAGTGAGAGCCCAGGCTCCCAAGTCTGACCGTCCTGGCACAAATCCTGATTTTCATCCAGTGCTAGCTGCATGTCATGGGCAAGTTACTTAATTTTTATGTTCTTCAGTTTTTTAATATATAAAATGAAGTACTGCATGGAATTATTGGGAGCATTACATAAAATAATTTAGGTAAAGTGATTGGAATCCTCCCTGGCACATACTAAATGCTCAGAAAATTTTATTATTTTTTGATAATGATAATTTGATGAAGCAAAGGGGGGATTCATTATAAGGACACAGGGCTGTCTTAGGGAATCCAAGGTTAGAACTGCCACTAAGTTTCAATTTGGGACTAGACCAGGGAAATAGAAAGGCATCAGGGAACCCAACATCATCTTTCTGTTTCTCTCAGGAGACCTTTAACATGTTTCTCTTTCCTTACATATCAGCCTTCCCTGTTTTTAAATTCTATATTATATGGGGAATTATAACTACCCTCAGCTCTCAAGTTCATATAAGAATTCCAATTACCTGAAGAAAAGGACTGGTTGCCTTAGTCACAATTTCAAGTTTACAAGAGAAATATAACTGGTCAAGCTCAAGTGTCCACTGCTAGTCCAATCAACTAAGGCTAAGGACAAGATCCTACAGTAGACCCATCCTAGACAGGGGTCAGTTCTCAGAGAAAGGATGATCTTTGAGCTCAAAAGACACCCCAAAATGTTTTGGCCTCTCCTAGAGCACTCTAAACTTCTGTCCTGAGGAATAGGATTTTTAGACAATGGTCTTCCTCTAGGAATTCCAAAGGAGGAGGCCTATTAAACCACCACTAGGGGCTCAGATTTTAGTGAGAAAATTAGTGCATTCTATATCTCCGATTTTTTTTTTTTTAAGAGAGAGTGAGAGAGGAGAGAGAGTGAGAGAGAGGATTTTTAATATTTATTTTTTAGTTCTCGGCGGACACAACATCTTTGTTGGTATGTGGTGCTGAGGATCGAACCCGGGCTGCACGCATGCCAGGCAAGCGCGCTACCGCTGAGCCACATCTCCAGCCCCTATATCTCTGATTTTATTGAGGGTTATTTTAGGGGAAATTCCATTCCAAATTTGTCTCCTGAAACAGATATTTGAGTCCAGAAGTGAAAAATAAGTAATTTGTATGTAGCAGAATAACATTTGTCTTATTAACCAATTACCTTTTCCCCAGAACTCTCTGTGATCCCATGACACTACCATTTTGGGGCAGTAGGCCATGAAGAATTTTTTGCCTTTTGACAAATCAAAAGTGAAAATAAGAGTCAAGTCATAAGCTTGGCTTTTTCTATTTTAAAAATTGTGGGAAAATATCCAATYAAGGAAGAAAATATTAAAGATTAGAGTGAACAGTCATGAAATAGAATCTAGAAAACCAAAAGTTGCTTCTTAGAAAAGATCGACAAAATTTCAGCTGGATTTCCTTTGTGGAAGCTGCCCGCCCTGCTCTTCAGAAGCAGCCTCCTCACTGTTTACCACCCCACAGTACCTAGGTGACCTCAAAGCTGTAAGACATAGCTGGAAGGTCTTTCCTCTGTCCGTTCTCATCATCAGACAYCAAAAGATGTCAGGAAGCCACTTTCTTCCTCGTCAATGTGCCCTAGGCCTCCAGTGCCTCACATGTTGAGAAAGATGGTCCCAAAATGCAAATGGAGATGGGCTTCCTCCCACCTGTCACAGTGCTGTACCTGTGTGACCAAACTCTCCCAGTCTCTAGTGTAGAAAGGGCTAAAAAGCCTTAATTATGGTTTGCTTAAAAATCAAGTGGTGCTTGACACTGGAAGACCCCAGAATCTGAACATCGGATGAAACACTTGCACCCCTCCCAAAGGCCCTACAATCTTGATTTTTATTCATCCTTTGTTTTGGTGGRGGAGCAGGTACTGAGGATTTACCTCAGGGGCACTTGACCATTGAGCCACCTCCCTCCCCAGCCCTAATGGTTTTGTATTTTATTTAGAGTCAGGGTCTCACTGAGTTGCTTAGCATCTCGATTTTTGCTGAAACTGGCTTTGAACTTGCAATCCTCCTGYCTCAGCCTCCCAAGCCGCTGGGATTACAGACATACACTACTGCGCCTGGCTGATTTTTTCATCCTTTACAACTGTCTTCCTTAGCCAACTGAAGCTTTGTCTGGATCTAGACTCAGTTACACTACACAAGTTTGACTGGACTGTCCAGCGCATCTGGGCATTAATAGTGGCTGTGTCTCACCCAGCTGCAGGACTGGCTTCCTGGACATGTACCTGTGCCATTACACTGGGCCCTACATTTTGAAGGGCCCACAATTTGTTTCCTAATGTGCTATCATCATCTTGAATTCTTAATTTTTTTATTTTTTATTTTTATTTTTTGCAAAGAGCACAGATCTTCATTTTTCAGTTCTCTCTGAAAATCATGTAGCCAGTCCTGGAAGCTTCCATTGTTGGAAGCTTCCTGTTCCATGGGTTTAAGGTGTACTGTTCCTGAGCTTGGTTTGAGGAATGGTTAATCACCTACTCTAGAGCCAGACAGCTCATATTTGAATCCTGGTTCTTTTGTTACTAGTCCTATTATCTTGATAGATCTTCAGGCTCAGTTTTTCTATCTGTAAAGTGGGAGTACTAATTGCATCTTTCTCATAGGCTTGTGGAAGGATAAAATTTTAGCATGTGTGAAACACTCAAATACCTGGAGCATAATAGAAAGCAATATCAGCTGTTCTTATTGTGTGGCTTTCCAGGGTCAAGTTGCTTTGCAGTTTCAGCAGTGTGTCTTGTAGTTGGTGGTGAATCTGACTTTTGACTGAATTATTTCTGTCAAAAAAATCATAAATAATAATATAATAAATAAATAATAGTCTCTGCTCATGAAAATGTCTTAGCAGAGTCCTGTGAGCAATGTAGGTGTGGAGAGCCATCCAAACTCTGCCTTTGGCCTGCCATGGAGCAGAGTTACGATTAACTTCCTGCTATTCCTAACCCCACAGACATCCTACCTACTCAAGTCAGGTTTCCCATAGTGAGGGCATGTACTCTGCACAAGTTAACTGTTAGTGGCACACAGACCCACCATTAAATAACATTAAACCCCACAGTGAGAAATCTTGCATGTTTCATTTTCTTTTAATCCACTGTTACAAATAGAAGAAAATCTCCATTCATTGTGGATAAATTTGTAACATCTCTTGTACTTGCCAACCTTCCCTTTATAATTAGGGGGAAAAAATAGTCCTGGGGCTTAGAGCCTTTGGCAGACCACAATATTTAGTTGGAATTTTAAACATTGTCGTGTTCTCATTGTATTTATTTCTAGGGTTAATTTATAAGGGAAGCTGGTTTTTTTCCATTTAAGGTAATAATCTAACATTTCTTATGGGGAGCAAAATAACATGTGAGTGGATTTAGTGCTGCTTTAAAATAAGAAGCTAKTAATGAAGAAACACCCCCAGCTATGCCCAAAAGCAAAATGAAAGTATGAGATCAGTGAAAAGCAGGTCAGGTCATTTTAACCTCAGTTAGTGTCAACATCATGGGACATAATTTTGATCACAAAAGGGTAATATGATTTATCCACACTTGGAAGAAAAGCAACAAGCAGCAAGGAAAATGAAGGAGGAGAGTTTTTTTGATTTTGAAAAAATAAAAAATTCCAAGCCTACGTATTGGGGAACATGTGGGTTCTTCAGATGTGTCATCATCTATTGGCTGTGACCGTGCAGAATAATTAAGCCTGTGGGCTAATATTCACATTGCATCACCTGGCCATCTGCTTATTTCCACAGCTTGGAAAGGCGGAAGCTCTGGCTTCAGCTGCCCTGGGTGAGTGGCCCAGGGGAGTAACTGCAGCCTGCTGCTTACGTCATTCTGCCCAACTTTGGTATGGAGAGAGAATCAACAAGTCAGCAGTTTCCATTTAAAGAATATTTATTTCAGTTTTTAAAATAGTTAAAGAGAAGAATCTAGGAGGAATGGTGGTGAAGGTGAATATCATATGTGTTTCCCAAACATTTTTAACCCACCCTACCCATCCCCACCCATCTTTGTCCTGATRTTTGCCCTGGACCTGTTTGGGCCACACTGAGGTGTTTTTTGTCTTCTGGCTTCCAGTTGAGGGTCATTCAATGGGTAGGATGAGCAAGAGGATGAAGGAGCCAGAAAAGTGATGTCAGGAATCGCTTCCTCCCCGGAGGACTGGCTGTTCCCAGCCCCCTCTGCTTCTAGGCTCAGGTGCTCTCTCCTTGCATCTTCAGGCCCCAGGTCTCAGCAGCCCCCACGCCACTAGCCCTAGACAACTGCTTCCCCACAACGGATGATTGAAAACAGTACTTTTAATTTGAGCTCACCATCTGGTTTTGTTTGTTTATTTTATTTTTATTTTTTTGATGGATTGTGACTGGTAACAAGGTTATTTACAAAGATCAAAATCCTCCAAACCTTCCAGAGACCCAAAGGATGGTYAGTGGCACCCTCCCCATCCCCACTCTTCATCCCCTCTTTTGTTCCAACTAATTTTCAGYTGCTACTTTAATATAGAGAATTCAATATCTACTGTCTTCTCCAATCCCATAGACTATAAATCATTTTTTTCTACATAAGGGAATTTCCATTCCAATAAAATATTTAAATGATTCAGAAATTCCATGATGTTTTATTTAAAAAAAAAAAACTTCTCTGTTTCAATGGCATCCTAAGTATAGATGCCCAAGGATGTGAGGCAATTGCAGTTACGTAGGAATAGGGAAGCTGAAATGGCATCCACGTGAGCTTTTCAGATCTGCAATGGGGACCAAGTTCTGTAAAATGAGTCATCTCCCCTCCATAGAAACTAATTATGAGGAATATAATCAAGAATTTGACCTTCCTTGTTAGTAGCAATAGTCTAGCATATGTTACATACACATATACATGTCCCTCACCATATTTTCCTGAAAAAAAGTCCAGGGAGGTGTCCTACCCACGTTTATGCTATCCACAGGCTACTTTTAGGTCATGAAAAACAGACACACTTSCTTGTAAGTTCACTGGCTCAGGCAGACAGACTGTGTTTTTACTGCAAGAGAAGAGCAACAGGAGGCAGTTTCTTGGTTGGTGAAGAAAGAGGGCTGTCAATTATTTGTCTCTGTGTTCCCATGATGTCCAGTGACAGGAGTTTACAGTCTTCTACAATAGAGCCTATCCTTGCCCTCCAAGTGTCCAGGGGTGGTAATACAAATAATATAAATGCTTGCTAGAGGAAGGGGAAAGGGAATGTGGATTCCAGATCCATAGCCATGACTGTACCAGAGACACACTTGAAGTGGAGGCTAAGAAGGACGAAATAGGCAATGAGAAAATGTTGCTCCAATAAAACTTTACATGGATACCAAACACATAAAGCAGATAAAGGAGAGTTTCTTATATTGAAGTGGGGGTGGGGAATCAAAGCCCATCCTCCTTTTCTTGCTTCTTATCTCACCCTCCTTGTCATCCTTCCTAACATCCCTAACCCTAGAGGTCCCACTAGGGAGCTTCAGGAAAACCCTGGGATTTTGGTCCTCTCTGATGCTAAAATGGTAAATGTCATGGCAAAATTTAATGTCAACAAGCAATGCACCTAAGGGAGGGGTGGTTTCTTGGTGTGTTTGTGTGTATGTGTGTGTGTGTGTGTGTGTATATATCTGGGGTGGGGTTGGGTACGGGGGCTCACCTGTCATTGACGGGTAGAGGAGCCATGCAGAACTTCCCAACAATGGTACTCCTGTTTTTATTCCAAACATGGCTGGAAGCCTGAAACTTTAATTTCACTTGTTTTATCTGGCACTGTGGCTCAGGGTGGGCTATGACTCCTCTTCCCCGGAGTTGCTGTCCAGGTCTAGGGACAGGGAAAGGGAAAGTGAATGTCTTGGAACTTTCTGCTTCGCTTCCTCTTTGGCTGTGATAGGACTTTGCTGATCACACTGGCTGGTTGTCATGCATAAAGGGACTAGCTCCTTGAAGGTGGGAACCATGGTCCTTTGTATTACCTTCACCAGCCCCTTTACCCACACATTTTCAGTCTTGACCATGACTCAAGAAATACTTCTTGATTTTTGAGAATAAAAGAGTAGACCCTGTGGCAAAATAGTAGCTCTTAGAATTTCATATCTGGAAAAATGTCTCTCACTCTTGGATTCACAAGTAAAGGAGAGCTTTACTTTAAGATGAAACTATTTGAAAATAGAAACCCTCTTTTAGGGACCCTGAGTTCAAGAATATAGTGTAAGGGTACTCTGCATTAAGCCAGGTATGAATGTACGGATGGAAAAACAATAAAAACAATAGGTCTTGAAGTCAGACAGAGCTGGGGTGGACCCCAGGTTTTGTCTCTTCTAAGCTGTCTGGCTTTGGACAAGTGACCTAACCTAGCAAGGTAGCCTTGGATTCACACAGTCCTAAGTATAAATCCCAGCTTCCCCATGGGCCACTGTGAGCTTGGACCACAGTGTTCAGAACAGTTGGACTTCCACCTAGAAGGCCCAGAGTGAAAATGCCCAGGTCTCTCTTAATCCACTCTTTTGGCCTTGCCCTCAGTTTCCYCATCAGTGTACAAGATGCAGGCACCACCTCATCAGTGACAAAGTTGAGGAAGGAGAATGAGACAAAGATGCAGGCAGATTATGAAGTGCCCAGCCTGGTGGAGTGCTTCAAAAAGGGCTGTGGGACCTTAGATAAAGGCCAGAGATGGTAAGATCCAAGTGTGGAAGAAGAGGCCTTCCATGAAAGTCATCAAATTTGGAACAAGGCTCAGCCCTTCCAGAAGAGTCCTGAGGGTATGATGTTGGGGAGTCAGGGAGAAGGACAGCAAGGACTGCACCAGGCTAGAGGGAAAGAACTTGCCTCCTGGGCCCTGGTCTGGTCTGCCCACCCTTTCTGTTCCTCCCTGGGCTCTGGGGCAGAAAGAGGGAAAGAAGGGCCATGGTCCCTTCCACACCATGTAGCAGGGTGGGACCTTCCTTACCAGCCCCATTTCTCTTTCCTTGGCAGTGATGACATATCTTTTGGGTGTAGCTTTTAGTCTGAGGTTAAGCATATAGTTTGATTTTTCCTTTTGAGGGAAGATACTGTATAACTGTTTAAAAATTCCCTACTCTTCAAARTGTTTTGAAATACGTTAGAGGAAAAATAAGATTGTTCCTTTTAAGAAACTGCTTAGATTGAGGAGCTTACAAAATAGAAGGAATATGAAAGATGCTTTATGTGAGTAATTTGGGAACTTGACTCCGGTRAATTCTACAATTCAAAGTTAATGTTGGTGTTGCTCAAAGCTAAAGATTGTAGGAAAAAGAACATACTTTCTCTTGGAAGGCCCATCCCCAATTTTTTATCTTAAAGATTAAAATTCAAAAAATTGAAGGTAGAAGCTAACATGTTCTGGTGGCCATCTTCAAAATTCATGTAAGTCTTTTTGGGAGGAGGCACTAACCTGTGGATGTCCATTAGACCCACTCATGGAGCTTTGGCTGTGTGGTTCATCTGGAGTGAACTTTGGTGGGGTGGACCCCATTTTTAAAGTTCTCCAGGTGATTCTAAGACACAGCCAGGAATGTGCATCATTGACATCACTCTGCCACTGTTGACCGATCTACAGTGTTCTGGAGAGGTGAGGTAAACACCCTTCTAGAAATACCATGACCTTGAACTGATCCAATAGAAAGTACTCAGCTCACTGACTTGCTGCCAAAATCCTGGGTGCTCCCCAAACTCTGGCCAACCTTCCCTGGGCTAGTGACTGAGGCCTTCCTGAGCACTGTTTCCTATTAGGGACCTGATTCCTATGTTCTAACCACCTGTTGGGACATCCCATTACTGCTGCCTGCTTGCCTTGTCATCCACCCTATGCTTGGACCTGTACTAATCCCACACTAACCTGTACTAACCTGGGACATTTCCCCAGAATGCGTCTATRGGTCAGTCTACATAAGTGCTGCACCAGCCGGGTCATCTAGGTCCAACTGTTGGCAATCTCAGCCTGACCTGGGATGTTTGGAGTGTGTACACTTGGAAAATGTAAAGGCAACTCCTGAGGAGAGGGGTCAGCCACGTGGGACACTTACGTACATGGTGATCTTGACTGAGGAGGTGACATTGCTGCTAACAAAGGTGATCTTGATGCTTGTGTCCTTTCTTCTTGGCTCCTGCAAGTAAAACTCCACKAGGCTGTGATGCACTAGGAAAGCAAAGCACAGCAGAGACTAAGGCAGAAGGYAGAGATGCAATGTTTGGAAAGCCCCCAAAAGTGGCAGAGCAGTTGGGAATCTCGGTTCTACTTCTTAGTAGCTGTGTACCCCACAGCAGATCCAGATCCCAAGTCATCTCAAGTGTAAATTGGGAATAGTAAAAATAGATGTCCCACAGGTCAGAGTGAGAAGTAAGCAAATTAATACATATAAAATTATTAGGACAGTGCCTGTACCTAGGAAGCATTCAATGTCAGTTTTATTATCTGCAGAACTAGAATGTCTCACTCTCCCTTATTTGGTGTCTTTATGATGGTTATGTAATCTTGAACCCAAAAGAACCTAGCATTTACTGTTATGGTTAGAATGTTGGTTTCCCCTCCAAAGTCACATTTGAACTTAACTCTCAACACAACAGTATGAAGAGGTGGGGACTTTTGAGAAGTGATTAAGTCATGATAACAGATTCCTCAAGAGTAGTTCAGTGAGCTGAGCCTGGTGGCACACACCTGTAATCCAGATATTCAGGAGGCTGAGGCAGGAGGATTACAAGTTCAAGGCCATCCAGGGGAACTTAATGGGACCCTATCTCAAAAACTAACAAATAAAAATTTAAAAAGAAAGACTGGGAATGTAATGGTAAGTGCCTGTGGGTTCAATTACCAGTATTTAAAAAAAAAAAAAAAAGACCTCAGTGGAACTAGTCAGGGCCCTTTGCTCCAAACTGCCTTTTTGCCATATGAAGAATGGCAGTGACGCAGCAACAGGTGCCATCCCGGAAGCAAAGAGAACAGACTTCATAGGTGCCAAATGCCAACACCTTCATCTTGGACCTCCCAGTCTCTAGACTATGAAAAAATAAATTTCCATTCTTTATAAATTAGCCAGTCTCAGATTTTTGTTATAGGAGCACAAATAGACTAAGACATATGCTAAATAATTCACTCCTAAAAGACAGTAGTGATCCTCCCCCTCCCAAACACAGTGTCCGAGAACCAAGCTATGTGTATAAGAGAAGGTTATTCCCCTCCCTGTGGCAGCTGGTCACCTGTGTGGCATCTTGACCCTCCCTTGGGCAGCACAGATGCTGGTACTCTCAAAGAGAGTGTTGTTGACACAGACTGGGCAAGCAGCCTGGCAGAYGGTGATACCCCCAGGGTTATCATCCCTCTAGCAAGAAAAGGTAAGGAAGATTACAACTCCCCTAATGCACCATCCTTTTCTTATCAAGTAGTAGGTGCACCTGGTAGCATTTTGCAGTAACTTTGTTCTCAGAAAATTTTCYCAAGCTCCTTGGGTGATGGGAACATGGTTAAAGATGCACTCCTCACCTCTCCCCTATCTGTACTTTTACTTTTTCACTTGCTTCATTTCCTGGATGAATATTGGGTGGTGGTGAGGGGCATTCAAGGGATATAGGTGAACTCAGTACTAAGTTGGAGGAGTGCTGTGATCCTTCTGGGCCCAACAGGATTAGTAACAGAGCTCACTGGCAAGCACCAAGATGCCAGAAACTCATGAGAAGCAAAGAGATGCTTGTACGCTCCTCCCTCCACAGGGGAAAACACCAAAGGCCATGTCTTACATCTCTCCCTCCCAGTTGTTTACTATGGGATGTTGATTGTTATGGGGATAGACAAAGTCTGAACTGGAGTGGATACCTGTGAGCCTGACTTATGAAAGCTTTAGAAATTTAATTTTCTGGGATGAGTTTGAYTTATGATATCACATCTTCCTTTGCTAACAGATATGATTGATCGAGAAATTTTCTTAAGGTTCTGCCTGTCTTTTCTTTACATGGTTCTGGAAAATCCAAGAAACCCAGGCCTAAGGTTGAATGGATGAGAACTGGTTGTAAGATCAAATCTACATGGGAGTAGGACATAGGTAGCAGCATGCAGTAAGCCCTGACTGGCTGGTTGGGAGTTCTGGATCCAAGGCCAGACGTGCTTTTCACAGGCTGTTGGCACCTGACCTAAGCCACTGAACCTTGCTGTGTCTTGGTTCCCTCAACTATAAKCAGTAATCCCAACATCACCAATAGGACATGGTGAGGATCAGATGAGGTAATGGAGAGAAGGCACTGTGTGAAAAACTGTTCTATAAAGCAAAAGTAATATTGTTTAAAAATATTATTTATAGAAAATCTTCTGCTCATACTGGCACATGCTTGGCAGTGTTTGGCAGAATCAAGGGTGATCACTGTCCTCATGGGCAGTGCTGAGGTGGAGGCGGACCAAGGGTGCTGGCATGGGAGCCCAATGCCATGAAGGCCTGGGAGTGGCTGGATAGCTGTGAGCTGGCAGCTGGGCCCCACTGAGCATTCTTAGATAGGTTTGCTCATGCCTGGTCCTGGAGGGAAGACCTRCTTCCATCCTCAGAATCAGAGACTTACAATACACAGGTGAGCAGGTGTTCATGCTGGCTTGCTCTCTTCTGTGCCTCTCTGTGGTTTTTGAACATACAGGGCCATGTTTCTTGGTAGAAGGAGGAGGTCTCACAACAAACATGAATAGAAAAATCAGGAGTCTGTGAATCTATCTTAGCAGGGACCTTAAAATGCTTTTAACCTTCAAGAGTCCCAGGGTCAAAAACATATATTGGAGAAAAGATAGTCTCAATAGTCACAAATGGTKCTGGAAAAACTGGAGATTCATGTGCAACAAAATGAGATTAAGCCCCTATCTCTCACCATGCACAAAACTCAACTTAAAGTGGATCAAGGACCTAAGAATTAAACCAGAGACTCTGTACCAAGTAGAAGAAAAAGTAGGCCCAAATCTCCMTTATGTCAGATTAGGACTTGACTTCCTTAATAAGACTCCTATAGCACAAGAATTAAAWTCAAGAATCAATAAATGGGATGGATTCAAACTAAAAAGCTTCTTCTTAGCAAAAGAAACAATCAATCAGTGAACTGAATAGAAAGCCTGAAGAATGGGAGCAAATTTTTACCACATGCAYGTCAGATAGAGCACTAATCTCTAGGATATATAATGAACTCAAAAATCTTAGCACCAAAAAAAAAAAAAACAAATAATTCAATCAATAAATGGGCCAAGGCACTTCTCAGAAGATGATATACAATCAATTAACAAATATATGAAAAAACGTTCAATATCTCTAGCAATTAGAGAAATGCAAATCAAAACTACTCTAAGATTTCATCTTACTCCAGTCAGAATGACAGCCATTAAGAATACAAACAACAGTAAGTGTTGGCAAGAATGTGGGGAAAAGGGCACTCTCTTACATTGCTGGTGGGACTGCAAATTGGTGCAACCAAACTGGAAAGCAGTATGGAGATTCCTTGGAAAACTTGGAATAGAACCACCATTTGACTCAGCTATCCCAACCCTCAGTTTATACCCAAAGGACTTAAAAACAGCATACTTAAGGGACACAGCCACATCAATGTTTATAGCAGCACAATTCACAATAGCTAAACTGTGGATTCAACCTAGATACCCTTCAGTAGATGAATGGATAAAGAAAATGTGGTATATATACACAAWGGAATATTACTCAGTGTTAAAAGAGAATAAAATCATGGCATTTTCAGGTAAATGAATGGAGATTGAGAATATAATGCTAAACGAAGTAACCAATCCCCAAAAAACAAATRCTGAATGTCTTCTCTAATATAAGGATGCTGATTCATAATGGGGATGGTGGGGAGCATGGTAGGAATAGAGGGAGCAAAGAGGATGGAGGGGAAGGAGGGGACATGGGGGTAGAAAAGATGGTGGAATGAGACAGCCATTGTTACCCTAAGTACATGTATGCAAACACAAATGGTGTGACTCTACTTTGTGTTCAACCAGAGACATGAAAATTTGTGCTCTATTTGTGTAATATGAATTGAATTGCATTCTGCCATCATATGTAACAAATTGGAATAAATAAAATTTAAAAATAAAAAAAAAGAGTCCCAGGCTCTCCTGCAGCTGTGTTCCTAGCTGTGCAGACAGGGTGGAGCCAGTTCAGGTTACTGCCAYATGCCAGGGGGTGGAATCAGAAGCCAGGACATCTGGCTGACAGCCATGCCTCCACCTTGAGACCCCACCTCCTCCCTCAGCCTGTGGGAGAAGTGACCACAGAGTGGAAACAGAGGCCAGCATGGAGGAAGGAGCTGCACGGAAAGGACAGAGGTTTGCGAGTCAAAATATCTGAGGTTGATGCTGATTTTTTTCACCCAACTGTGTACCATGGGCATGTTGCTTGGTCCCTCAGAGCTTCCCTTTTCTCACCCACTTCTCTCAGAGTTGGGCTGGCCAATGACTGACACGCATAGAAAGCCCACTGTTGACTCTGCAACCTACTCTGACCCTGAGAGATGTGGCCAGGAATTCTCTCTGGCTTGAAGGTAGCAACACCTCCATCTGTTCTTCTCTCAAATTCTCTAAGGAAAGGAAAGGACATGCTTCTTTATTCRGTTCCAATCACTGTGACAGAGACTTCCCTTGTACTATTTTGTTTTATCCTCACAATTGATTCTTGCAAGTAGGTACTGTTATTGTTTCCATTTTCCACATAAGAAGTCCAGAAAGCTTAAGTAAATTGTTCCTGATCATACAGCCGATAAGTGGAGAAGCTGAGATTCAAATCCAGGTCTTGTGTGACCAGAGTCTGAGCTCTGGGCTCCATATCACATTGCACTAGGCCTTTCAGTAACTGGAAGAAATAGTCACAAAGACCCCTCCACTAACTCCAACACAAGCTAATCAGAAAACCAGTTAAAATGATGKACACATAATGTATCATCCAAACCAGCACAATTGTGTCCTGTACACATCACAAAGCAGTCAGGAAGACCCCAAGACAACACACATAAACCAGGAAGTACAGTGAAGACATAAATAGCATGGGGAAGAAGGAACTACATTGTCCTAAGACAGGCTTTCATGTTTTACATCTTTTAYGATCACGGGCATTTTAGCTTCGAAGAAATGCAGTGAAAGCAACTATGGACCATTTGAATGTGTCTGTAAAGGGGAAGGCGGGTGGAGGGTGCATTACCCACGAYCCTCATCCAGTAGGGCTGCCTGGTGGGAGACATATACAGTGTTCATCAAGGAGGGGGAAGGAAATGTGTAGGAAGGAAGGACCCAGAAGTGTGAGCAAATACTGCTCTAGAGAGACCCAACCCCCAGAGCAAATCTGGGTGAGAGAAGAAAAGAGGATCAGTACATGAACGATAGAATATCCCAAGACCTCATCTSTGGAAGTGTGGACTGGCCTCATTCTTACAGTCTGGTTCCATCTAAAACCAGGAACTGCTCCTCCCAGTGTATCTTTGCCCCAGTCCTTCGCCTCCCAACTGGGCTCCAACACTGGGCTGGATACAATCCAGGTTGGAGTCCTGGACTCTTCCAAAAGGCACATTGACACAGCATGCATTTTCTCCCYACTCACCGCAGTAGGGGGCCGTGGGCATGGTCAGGAGGTAGACTTTCACTTCCTTGGGAAGCGGCTCTATCTTGATACCACTTTGGTCTCCTAGCCCTGGAAATTAAGAAGCAAAGAGGAGGCCATTTCAGGAGAAATGGAAAAGCTGAGATTCAAATCCAGGTCTTGTGTAACCAGAGTCTGAGCTCTGGGCTCAGCACCCAGCCAAATACAAATTAATTCGCATACCCAGAAACAGACAGCTACACTGTGTACTCATTCCAGGTGCTGGGAATTGAACCCAGGGCCTTGCACCTATTAGACAAACACCCTACCACAGAGCTGCACCTCCAATCCTTTAAAAAAAATTTATATTGAGACAGTATCTCTCTAAGTTGCCCAAACTGATCTCAAACTCCCGGTCCTCCTCCCTCAGTCTCCTGAGATGCTGGTTTTACAGCTATGTGCCACCATGACCCACTCTCAATAGGTAATTATAAGAAATTTAAAATTATGTCTTTTCCTTGCAAATCAGTCTACTTTGACCGTTTAATGGCATTTGTATCCTGTGCAGCAAAAACAGTGCAAGGGAAATATTGGACCTGGAGACTGCAGATGGCATTCAGGGAGAGGGTGATCAGGGCAGAGAATAGAGTTAGGGCAAAGGCCCACATGATGAGGAAATGTGCTATACCCTTGGAAGTACACATGGTTAGCATCCCTAAGGTGTTCAGTGCAAGGGAAAGTGGAGAGAGAGCTGAGGCTGGGCAGTCAATGGGAAGTGGCTGTTACATCGACTGGTCCATCACATCTGGGGACAATGCAGACACATATCCACTGAGCCTGAAATAGTGTTAGTTTGTTTTGTTATGGTAAGATACCCTTCCTCTAACATTTTATCAAGCAGGTATGSACTGCACTTCATTTGTATAAGCAATGTTAGGCTGCTGCAGTTTGGAGTGGTGGGAGGTGGGAGAGTGTGGAATGGGGGAGGAGTATTTCCACTACTCAGGAGTTTTCACCCTGTATAACCCCAGGATATCTGCAGCAATAGTCTACACAGGCAAGTTAGAGGACAGATCCATCAGCCTTCTCTCCCCAGACTGGCCTGGATCATTCAGGAACATGCCCAAGTGGTCCAGCTGTTAGTCAATTCCTTCCACACTGGCCATCACAGTGGCCATCACAATGTCGCACCTCTGAAGTAGGCACGTGTGCCACTTTGTAGTTTCCCCAGAACACACTAATTAAGGGGCTGTGAAGAGCTGGAGATGGCCAACCTAGTAAGAAGGACTTATAGAAGCATCTGTCAGAGAAGGGCAGGGGCTCCACATTGTGCCAATGTTTCTAGAGAGTGTCCTGAGGCTGGGCGTCCAGATGAGAGGGGCTGTCGGTGCAGAGGGAGTGTGGCAGCAGGGAGCAGGAGAGCTGGTGAGAGGCAGAACACAGAGGGCCAGCTGCTATCTTCTGTGAGAACAGGCTAACACCTCTTGGGTTAATTTTTCTTTCCCTCAGTTGGATAGGTCTTTCAACCACTGGAACTTAGAAGGTAAAGAGGTGACAACTGGCAGGATGTGAACTTTCCCCACATTGTCAAAGCGAGTCCAAAGGGTGACATTTTACCTATCCTTGGACAGGAAAGCAGAAAAGGGTTAAAGCAATCCACACAGTTTCCGGCAAGGAAGTCCTGGTAGCTGGCACAAGGAAAGGCCATCAATGGACAGGAATTCTCCAGGGCACTGATGTAGAGGTGCACAGCCCTCATGTGATCACAGATCAGATAACTGTAACCTGAACCGGAGGGAAAAAACAGCCAAGTTTTCAGTCAAGACAAATGGAAATTCCCTTCATGCTACTTACTGTAACTCTACCAAATTTCATATTCGAGAAGGCTATAAATACATAGGATGTCCCCTGAGTCACATTCTTAAGTTTTAATGGACATGGTTACCACTTTTTCCCTTTTCCTTTTCCTGAGTTATATAAGCTTAATCTACAGTGGAAATTGCTTGACTTCAGAGCTATTCTTCTGTGATCATGYAAACTCTCCTTTATAAGATGGGAAGATGCCGACTCTACTTCTGGACATGATTGGCTGCCTTCTTCATCACCAACCACACAGCCAATTTTTTACAACTTCATTCTACCTAACCCAGCAGTGAGGCAATCATGATCAGTTGTCTCTGAAGCTGAAGTGCTGACACTTGACTGGCCAAATGACTGATGCAATCAGTCTGCCAAGTTCCCCAATTTACTAAAAGCTTGGTTCTACTGTTGTTATTGCTACCCTATTTAAAAGTGTGCAACAACTCCCATTGGCTGGATTGGCTGGGGCTAAGGTAAATAGTGAGCTACAACCCCAGGCAGGCTTCTTGGGTCTTTAGCCCCCACCCCATCCCTTGGGACCCTCTTTGTGAAACTGGTAATCAGGATGGAATTTTGAGCTGACTTTCTTTTCCCCTGAGATTGAGACACCCAAGCCACAACCAAGTTCYTTCCTTCATTAACAGGGAGCTGAGGCAGAGACAAACCATACCTTTCTCAAAATTTGTATGAAGAAGAAATGAAAAGTGGTTCATTAAAATGCTTCTGAAATTTTCCAACACCATTGAAACCAAATTAGGCCACCTGATCAAAATAACTGAAATTACTCAATAAACTGTCAAAAAGAAGCATATTTTTAGAAAACTACTAAATTTGGTAAAGCAGATTAGTGATTATTCAATAAAATTGTCAAAGGTATCCTTAAAGTGTTAAGAATATAGTGAAGCCAGAAAAGAAACATAGAAATCAGCATTTAAAACTTCTATATGAAGTGTCAATATATTAGTTATGGTCATACAAAGAATATGACTAAATAGTCCTTAATGCTTAGCTTTTGACAAATTTAATATTTTTAAATAAATAATGCTATGAAGAATATATATTCAAAAAGAACATTCCAGAAGAATGTATGTAGAATAGAAGAAATGCATATTGATTGCATGTGTTCAAGAAGATCATCTTAGCACGCCTGTAATCCCAGTGGCTTGGGAGGCTGAGGCAGGAAGATTGCAAGTTCAAAAGCAGCCTCAGCAACTTAGCAAGGCATTGTCTCAAAATAAAAAATAAAAAGGGGTGGGGATGTGGCTTAGTGATTAAGTGCTTCTGGGTACAAAGAAGAAGGAAGAGGAGGAAGAGGAGATCTTGAAGATAATTTTAGAAAACAGTTAAGTTTCTTATATTTGGTGAAGTGGTCATGCAGTGAATGGATTCCTGGGCTAACTAGCTTTGGGCCCATTGGCTTGTTTCTRCCACAGCCCCACTCTGCAGAGAATGCAGCTTGTGTGGGCTTTGCCACAAATCAGGGCACAAGGAAGAATAAGAAGTGATTGGCTTGAGTGATGTGAAGTTGTGTCAGGGCCTAAGGTAAGTGGGGAAGGCAGCACAAGTATAATGCTTCCAAAATCAGGCTGAAAATTTGTCTGAAATTCAGGTCTCCAAAGATTCTTGGTAAGTGCAGAGTGAGGCACTATAGGACTCAGCAAAGGGCATTGTCAGAAAACCCTCAGTGGACCTCACTGGTCAATTCAGTGTGAAGACCAACGTTGGTCTCCAGCTTGTGAGGCAGGCAAACACCAATGCTCTGGCTTTCTGACCTGCATGAATGAACGTGGGACAGCCAGGCTGGTCCTGGCCTCCGTTGACGAAGTAGTCCACATGTCCAACAGGAATCCGAATGCCCAAATCTGAAAGAGGCATAATCCCATTACCTTCTTACTTCAGGAACATATCTTCCGGGACCCACAGTAGGGTCCACTGGCAGCAGTGCCTGAATTCTGGCCTTAGGAGCTCACCCTRTCTGTGTCCACCTCACTCCAAAGAGCTCCAAGACTTTGTAAGATGAGTCGTGCTGAACCAAAGAAGAATCAATGTATAAGATACCCATACTCACCTGTAATCCCAGCAGCTCAGGAGGCTGAAGCAGGAGGACCATGAGTTTAAAGCCAGCCTCAGCAACTCAGTGAGGCCCTAAGCAAATCAGTGAGATCTTATCTCAAAATAAAAAATAAAAAGGGCTGAGGATGTGGCTCAGAAGTTAAGTGCACCTGGGCTCAATCCTCAATACCAAAACAAAGAAGCAACAACAACAAAAAAATGGTACCTGCATTCACCAAATAAAATCAAGAAAATACTCCTCAATCAAGTTTGTATTATAAAAAATATTATAAACTTGGTAAATTTCCTAGTTTCTGTTTTCCTTCAAGCAATACTTCAGATAAATAAGTTTGGGACCACATTTCCACAGTCTCCCGCAAAACATACTTTTTTGCTTTCTTCACTGAGTGGAAATATGATGTGACTACAAAGAGCTATATCCTAGGCCCTCCCATATAGCACATCTGACCCCTCTCCCAACCCCAGGCTGGGTTAGCCCAACCACCAGGGACCCTGATTTTCTCCTTCAGGTCATCTGTCACTGTTGTAAGAAACGGTGAATTATTTGTTTAATGAAATCTACCCAAGGGTTAAGCAGAGACACAGAAATCATCCTTAATCCCGGCCTGACCCTCACTTCCCACACCCAGCCCTGAGTGTGGTCAGATCTATCTCAGAGTATATTTAGAAATGTATTCTGAATCTTTCTCCTACTGCCATCACCTTGGCCCAAGTCTCCAACCTCTCACCCAGACAACCCCTGCAATTGCCCTGTCCTGGGCCTCCCTTAGTACCCTCCTGTACTTGGTTCCCTGTATAGAAGCTGCAGTCTCTTAAAGAAATCCAAGTTACTGCCCTATTCTCAGGGATCTTAGAACCAAAGGGAAGCTCCTTGCAGAGTCCAGCCTAGACTGTTCCCTCTTCTCCAACACACTCAACACCTCCTCCTCCTTCGCTGCCCTCTAACCATATGGTTCCCTTTTTTTGTCTCTAGAACAAACCTGTGTCCAGGCCTGCATTTCACTTCTAGCTGGAGGGATCCTCTGTACCTGGAATGCTCTTCTCCCAGCCTTCCCAGGGCTGACTTGTTCTCATCCGCTAAGATTTACCCCACCTCTTCTTGAGCAGATGTTCTCCAAGAATCCTATGGAGCAGATCCCCTACCTGTCACCCCCCACCCTCACTGCTTCTTCATTATAATAATCAAAATGTGTAATCATCTCATTTGTTTCTTTGGATGTAAGATCCACAACGGCAGGTCTTTTGCCTGACATTTCTCTGCTGGGTCCTTACCACCTACCACAYTCCCTGGCTCGTAGTGAGTGCCTAATAGTTATTGAGTGAATAAATAGATAAGTGCCTGATCCTGAAGCCTATGAGTTCTGAGTGGGCAGGGACCTTGTCTAAGCCTTGTTCACTGCTGTATTCTCAGTACTGGTTACATAGCTCAGTAAAGATGGATTGAATAAATGGAATGAATTTTTTTTCAATCCAATCAGGAACTTTGAAGGGCCTAAGACCTATCTCAGGTAACTGGAGACCTAATAAGTCATCTGGTTAGCCAAATTAGGGGCATAAGGGACTTGTGTTATTAATGAACAAGGTTAATTCACCTGACAGAGGCAGACAGAGTGCCATGGGCTTTGGTTTCCCCTCTGGGCAGTGAAGGTGTGAACGAGGCTACATGGGCTTCTTCCAGAATCACTTGTCTGTGGGTCTTGGTTGCTAGAGAAGGCTTGTAACCACAGAGAATGAGACATCTCCTTCAAATTTACCAAGTTCATAATATTATTTCATGCAAACTTGATTGAGGAGTATTTCTTGATTTTATTTGGTGAATGTGGGTACCATTTTTTTTTTTTGGTATCTTTGTTTGTTTTTGGTACTGAGGATTGAACCCAGGGGCTCTCAACCTCTGAGACACATCCTCAACCCTTTTTATTTTTTATTTTGAGACAAGATCTCACTTGACTGAAAACTCTTTTGGTCAGACCAGATGTTATTTCTCCTTGCTTCAATGACACTGAGTACAGTGCTTGGCACAGACTCTGGGCATTTTCTATCAAGTAGAAATGAGGAAGACTGTCCACCTTGTTTCCCAGTTGATCAGAAGGGCTTAATTTGGATATAATGGATTGAGAGTTGGGGGGGTCTTTCCTGTGTCTGTCACCATTGGCAGGGGGCTTCTCATTCTCCATTGCACTGAGGATTGGGCTTGTTCACAGGGGAGAAGGGGAGTCCAGATGGGGAGAGGAATCTCCCCATCCCCAGGGACCAGACACAATCACCCTGAAAAAGCAGCATAGCTTTCCCATATCAGTTGGGCAGCAACGTCCTCCCCAATCCCTTCTCAGTACAAAGTCTGGTTTTGAATCGGAGAGAGGGACTCCCAAACAAGCGAGTTTCATCCATAAACGAAAATCCTACGTGTATTGGCCGCTAAAAAGAAAACCAGTTGTCTCAGTGGTCACAGAACGACTCCCGAAAGAGACTTTGAAGATCATTCTCGTAATGACTGTACAGCAGAAGCCCTCAGAGAGACAGGGCCATACCACTAGGTGCCAGCCTCCTGGCCTCTACCTTGTGCTTACTCCCTCTCCCCAGACACGTCACACACGCAAGTATCCCCCACCCCCATCCTGCTCACTGTCGCTGTCTGTGTGGATGGCTTCCACAAAGAGGGCATCTCCAGCATCCAAGCGTTCCTCCAGACTGGCTCTGGTGTACTCTGGTCCAGCGGGGTCTAAGCCTGCAAGAACAGATAGCTATTAGGAGCTCCCTTTCCTCTCAGCTGTAGGAACTGCAATGGGACCACCATACGCCTTCCTGGATACCCCTCCAGTTCAGATCATGGAGTGCTCCAGCAAAGACCAAGGTTTGGGAGAACTAACTCAGGACCACCTCACTCAAGAAACCCCACTCACAGTTGTCTCTCTTGTGGTAACCTTCAATGACCCAGTTTTTCTGGCTCTAAAATGATTTGATAATACCAACCATTTGGCAATGGCTAATGTGCTCATATTAACCTTCAGGGGCAACTAGTTCTCACCCCATTGGGGCCTCACTGGAAGAGTATGTGGAACATGACTCAGAATTATCCCACCAAAGAGCCAGGAAGTTGGGGTATTTACCACATCGCCCTAGTCCGTTATTGTTTGAGAATGGCTCCTGAAGCATAAAGTCCCCCTCCCACATTTGAAGGTATGTAGCAAAACTGAAGGTGATTCCCACAGTGGGCCAAGGAGATAAGGGATTTTACAGCTCGTTTTATAGATCTAGACACTGGRGCTCAGAAGTACACAGCCTCTGATACTAATATTAGAGATCATGCAATAGTAATGATAGCATTTTATGTAAAACAACTACAATAAATAAATGTTGTGGTAATAGATGACTCAATCATATAATGGCTCAATATACCACTCTGCCTACCTCAAAAGAGGCATGTCCAGKGCAATTCCTTTCTATCTCTGAACCCTGGGAGGATGGTCAGGGAAAATGTTACCTGTGATCCGTCCCAACTGGCCTTTGTAGAAATGTCCCACCATGCCCCCAACATGGGCCCCCAGGCTAACTCCAATGATGTGGATAGAAGACTTTGATACACCCAGCGCCTGGAATGGGCATTGACAGTGAATTTGTTTTGGATCACAACAACTTTTCCCACAGACTTCAGAGGCTGAGTGCCCTGGGCAAGACACACCCACCACCCATGATTTGGAGAAAAGGGCAGACCTCTCATCCATCAATCACTTTTCCTCTTCCCTTCCCTGACAATCCCCTCACTTCAAAGTGTGTGACTAATGACCAGGACATCCCCTATTAAGGAGCCACTAAATTCCAGGCAATCTGCACTGCCCATCTACTACTCCTTTTACAGAGGAGGAGCAGGAGCCTCAGCCAGGTTCAACACCAAGTGACTAACTGGAGATTTGATCTAAAGACCAACAAGCCCTGAAGGGCTCTGCTTCTGCCCTGAGCCCCCTTAACAGGTGATTGTTTTTTCTCTTTGTGCCCTGTCTCTCCTCTGTAAGTAGCCCAAAATCACCCTGAGCTCTTTTGCACCTACCAGGAGTTTACTGAGGAAACGGGAAATCTCCAGGCTCAGCTTAACCACATTTTCCACAGCCGAGTAGTAGACACCTGTAGATCCGTAAACCCAGTCCACAGCGATCACGTTAGCATCTACTGCATTCAGAAGGGCTCTAATGAATGTATTAATCCAGGAAGGCTTTTTTCCTAAAGCCCTAGACATGGGGACAAAAAGGAGAGGAAAATGACCTGCCAAGCTGATATCCATTGTCATGGAAGCCTCTGTTAATCCCAACCCAGAGAAGAAGTCAAAACTAGAAARTAGGTATAAGGGGGAATTTATCATGCAGTACTTTGGATACACGGAGGACATGATCCCAAAGTTGCCAAGCCTCCTGCCAACAGAGGAGGCTTTGTGTAAATTATACCTGAGTGCCTTATGGTCCAGGTAGTTGCAGCCTCAAGCCAGGGCTCAGAGCTCAAGCTGAATTTCAACCCATTTGCTTTCAATCAGGCACATTTGTGCAATGCTAAACTACATAAACCACACGCACTGCCTAACTCCTGTTTGTGTTATTTGTGGAAAAGATGACTTTGTACCCTAAACTTTATATTTGTGACCTTAATTCTTATTCTAGAATATAGGCTCTTTCCTTGAGGATGTTTTCATTCATTCATTCACTCATCCACTCATTCAACAAACTTTTGTTGCGTACCTATGGGCCAGGTAGTATGTTATATGTTTTCTAAGAGATAAAAAAAATAAGATATAGTCCCTGTTTTTCTGAAACTTAAGGTATAATGAGACTTCTGTAGAAACAGAGTGATGGAAATTTTTTCAGAAATCTTTCCCAATAGATTGGGATCAGAAATAAAGTTTTTGAAATAACCTCCACTATAGGAACAATCTGAGCATGCTCATGTGGGCAGAGGAGTGCAGATTGGATTGTGCCATGGAAAGGGGTTTGGGGGGACATAGAAGCAGACAGACAACTGGCCTGATGAGCTCTCCAGCTCTCTTAGCCATCCCTGCATTGGAGGCACAGGCTCAGCCTTGGATAGTGACTGAGTGTGAGGCTTGCCTGAGGACAGACTTTGGAACAAGGGTGAGGAGGGAATGTCTAGGAATTATGTGGCTGGGAATCCAGGGATCCAGGAGGTGCAGAGGACAGGAATCAGGAAGTGGTGATCCTCTGTGCCTACTCTTCATCAGATACCCTCAACTTGAGTGGTTCTACAGTGCTACTATTCCACCACAGTCTCTCCTTTGTTCCTCCTGGGAACCTTTCTGTTCTTGGTCTTGTCTTGGACTTCGGGTGAAAGTTGTTGGAAGGAAGGAGTGATTGAATTGAGACTCAGTGACTATATGTTATGACAAAATTTGGACCGTAGGATATCAGAACTTGTAGAAGAGATGTGTTCACTCCTGAGAAACACTAAACTTTGGGTATGATGGAAGTACCCATAAATAGAAGTTTCTCAGGTCACAAAACYAGGGAAAAAGTGAAAAAAAGGAAATAAAACCCGACGTAAAAACACCATGCCATTACCCCTGGGTAACTTCACAAAGCCTGTGACCTTACTGTCTGAGATGAATCATGTCACACAGCCCACACTTCAGGGGTAATAGCATGATGTTTTCACTCAGGAACCACTGAGATGTCCCTACAACTTCTTTAATTCAGATGTGGAAACTGAAGTTCCGTGTATGGAGTGACTTGTCAAGGTCACACATATATGTACTGTTCGTGAGTATGCATGTACATATTCATGACTCACAAGAATGAAGGACACAGGGGTGTGAGTGTTGATGAGATGTCTTCCAAAACAGCAGGGCTTGAGAGATGGATCATGTGATGGTCAGTAAATCCTCCCCTTGCTCCCCACTAAATTCCTGTGACACTATGTCCCCTTCATAGTTCTCAGTTGAAGAGATCCTACTGGCTGGTTAGCTCCCACCTGAATCCGTGAATAATTAGTTTGGTTTCCAGACTGGCATTGAACCCAGAGTCTTGGATGTCACTGCTTTCTTCCAGTAGCTGCCCACAGCTAGGATCTGAAGGTGCAAAGAGGAGAAACTGCACTTTGAGATTGGTGCCTCGGAGGAGGTTGGCATTCTGGAAATCAGTGCACTTTGGCTGTGGGGTAAGAGGTACATCCCCTGGAGGAAAACAAAACAGAACAAGAACATCCAGAGTAAGGTCATCTATTTTTAGAGGAAAGAACGGGGAAAGAACGATGTTCTTGGAAGGAAGAAAGAAACAGGGGCTTTCAGGCATGCTGTTTATTATAAGTCAGCTAGGACAAGAATTACTTAGTGATTAAAACCTGCATTAATTCTGTTACCAAAATCTGTGAATATTTTTCATGCCTAAGAACAAAATACTAGAGAAGATTATGAATATTGCTCAATTAGAGGAGGTTAAAGCCTACATTGAAATGGCTATCAGGGGATGAACAGAGTTCTTAGGTGGAAGTTCTAACCACTGATAATTTAGAATATGACTAAATTTGGAGAAAGGGTGTTTACAAAGGTAATTCAGTTAAAATGAGGTCAGTATGGTGGTCCCTAATCCAATAGAACCAGAGTCCTTATAAGAAAAGGAAATTTGGACAGCAACAGAGAAAAGATGATGTAAAGAAGCAGAGGAAGAAGACGGCCATCTGGAAGCCATAGAGAGGCCTGGAAAATGTTCTTTTCTTGCAGCCCTCAGAGGGAACCCACCCTGCCAACACCTTGATCTCAGACTTCCAGCCTCCAGAACTGTGAGACACAAGATTTTTGTTGTTTAAGTTACCTTAGCCTGTGGCACATTGTTATGGCCACCCCACCAAAGTAAAACAATTTTCTAAAAAGAGCCCTCAACACACCAAACAAGCCATTGCCCTGGGGACTAGGCTCATCCTGCTCTAACTGCCCATCCTGGAGGGTTTCAAATGCCCTACCCTCACATAACCACTTCTTGTCCTTACGTGGAGTCCAGAGAAATTCTAGAACCTTCCAGCACCCAGCCATTGGCTGCTAGCCAACTGACAGAGAACAACTTTAACAAGCTACACCTACTCAGCAGCACCTTACAATACACACCATTAAACTGGCTATTTTATGGCCAAGGTCATTGAAGGGTCTTTTACAATATCAGCTTCCTTTCAGGAAATTGAAAATCTGGTCCATGGTCAATACCAGGCATCCCACACCCATGTCCCTTTTTGCGATGCAGGGGAGTGGTCCCTGACTTCCACACAGCCAACAAGGAGAGCTTGGCAGGAGCAGTAGGGTGCACACTGACCTAAGCACACAGCACAATCATGTGCTGTTGGCAGCTTCCTAGCTGCACTGCCACAGAACAAAGTGATTCCCAGAATCAGTGGTTCCAAGAAAAGTCCAGATGGCAGATTTTATTCTGTGCAGGCCCCTCCAAAGAGGAAGACAGAAATTTTAGATTCTGCAGCAATTATCTGCTGTCAGAGGTAACTGGGGACACAGACACAACACAGGATCTGGGATGAACTAGAATGTGGTGTCACCAGTGGATTGCGGGATCCTCAGTCCTCAGAGAATATACCTCACACAGCAAGGCCTTATGGAGCTTCAGCCCATCACTGCTTCTGAGCCCCAGATCTTGTCCCTAATTTCCTGACAAAGCCTTTCTGAGCAGCCAGCTCTTAGACACTCCTGGATCCAAGCCCACTCTGGGTGCAGCTCCCCTACTTCACCCCTGAGCTCCTCAGCCTGCAATCTACACATGAAAGAGAAAGATGCTCACCTGTACTCTTCATCTGCTTTCCCCAGTGTTTGGCTTTTAGATGAAAGGATTCTGCTTAAACATGAGATTTAATCTACTTAAGTCAGTAAATCTACTCTATTGGTCATATAGAAAAATCTGCATCCATACAGCAGAATTGAGTCCTTTTGGATGAGCATAACATGTCACAAGGCAGTACTATGGTTTGATATAATTTGGGTGTCCCCCAAAGTTTTCTATGTGAAGTCTTGGTCCCCAAGGTGGTAGTATTAGGAGGTACAGGAGATCTGTAAGAGGTGGGGCCTAATGAGCGGTCCTTAGGTCTTTGGGGATATGCCTTCAAAGGGGACTGTGGGGCCTTGAACTCCTCTTCTTTCTTTCTCAACTCCTGGCTTGAGATGTAACATTTTGCTCCAACACACACCCATCACGATGAGCCACCCAAACCAGAGGCCAAATCAAAAGGGCCTCCTTATCTTAGACTTGAACCTCCAAAACCATAAACTAAATAAGCCTTCTTCCTCTTCTTCCCACCCCTCCCTTCATGTGTGTGTGTGTATTTGTGTATGTGTGTGTGTATGTGTTACTAAGGATTGAACCTRGGGGATGTTGCTCTACCTCTGAGCTATAGCCCCAGGCCTTTTTTATTTTTGAGACTAGGTCTCTTCTTTTTAAATTTTTGGCGGTGCTAGGGGTTGAACCCAGGGCTTTGTGCATGCAAGGCAAGCACCCCAGCAACTGAACTATATCTCTATCTCTCTTTTCTCTTTTTAAAGTGAGTTGCCTAGAGCATTTCATTATAGTAACTCTATTCTAATACAGCAAGCCTCAACAATCATCAAAGAATCAATATCATCCAGACAATATCATCTAAATAAAATGTAATAGAAAGAGAAATCAATACCAAAAGTTATTTAAAAGTACATTTGTTAAATGTTGAAATATATCTGTGAAATGTTGAAAAAAATACTGTTCTAAGTAATGTGTGGGTTGAAGAAAAATCACAGTGGAAGGTAAAGAATATTAAAAACTAAATGACAAGAAAAACAATTCAGATAAAAATTTGTGTAAGGCGGCTAACACAGCTCTTAGGGTGTTAAAATGGTTTATTGGGAAGCCATTATCTGAGGCAGTACTAGAGCCTGAGTGCCTACCTGAGTAAACCGAAAACCCAACAAATGGAGAACACCACGCCGGGGGAAAATGAAACTTAAGCACTACTGATCTGAAGTGGCCAACTAATCTATAGCTAGGGACTTTAATGCTACCACTTCATTTTTCTTTCTTTATGGTACTCAGGGATGCTCTCCCACTGAGCTATGTCCCCAGCCCTTTTAATTTTTATTTTGAGACAGGTCTTTTTAAGTTGCTAAGACTTGCCTCCAATTTGTGATCTTCTTGCCTCAGCCTCCTGAGCCACTGGGATTACAAATTGCTACAGCACCTGGCTCCAATCCACATTAACCACTCAAGTTTTTTTTTTTTTTTTTTTTTTTTTTTGCCTTGCTCCACATGTATCTCTTAAAAGTTTTTCCTTCATGCCTCTTTGGTGAAGTCCTGGACCAATTGTGGTCAGAAGCTAATTCATGAATCATTGTTGGCTCTAATAAACTTCGAAAAGCAAATTTTAAGTGCCTAAGTTTATCTTTTAACAGGGGAAATATATAACCTGAAATTAAAATGTTACAGTGAAAAAGGGAAAGATTTAGATTAGACAATTTACTCTCTTAACTCAGAAAAGAACAGTGCATCAACTCCAAATAAAATATAGGGAAAGAAACATAAATATGGTAGTTGAAATGTAGAAAACAGTGCAACCCAAGCAACACCGTCAGCAACTGTCACTGTGATTTTGTAGGCCAAGCTTCTTGGATATGTCTTGATTCTTCCCTTCCTCTCACTGTTGTGGGAAACAGACCCATCGAGAATTAACCAGAAGCACTCGGAGAGAACTCCAAACTTTATTTACATGGGCGTCCCAGAGAATACAAATTCTGAGCCCTGATCCACAGTTTCTCACTATATATATATATGTTATTTGGCATCATCTTAGATGCCATCCTCTCATTGGGGCTTTTTTCCTCATTTTAAAAGTGTTCCTAATCTACAAGGCTGTAGGCCTTGGGCCAGGTCTCTAACAGAAAGCATGCTTACAGAAACAGATAAGAAGAACCAGCTGTTTTCACAGGCATCTGTTAAACCTCTAGCCTTAAAGCTTGGTACAGGGGCTGGGGTTGTAGCTCAGTGGTAGAGTGTTTGCCTCTCGTGGGGAAGCCACTGAGTTCAATCCTTAGCACCACATAAAAATAAAGGTGTTGCGTCCATCTACAACTAAAAATAATTTTTAAAACTATTTTTTAAAAAGCCTGGTACAGGTATGTTTACATTTCAAGAGGGAGAAGTGGAACTCCCAGGGTAGTTATATATAATCCAAAAGATAGGGACCCCTGAGGTTCGTGAAGAAAGGCTGAGAGAGAGGAAAAGAACTGACCCTTTCCCTGGGCACTGGTTTCTTACTATAATATTTTTATAATTTCATGTTACAACACAAATGCTAAGTAAATCCTGTTGGCTCTACCAGTGGAATCATATGTTCAATTTTCAACCATATTCACCATCTACTTGCACAACAATCATCACCTTCTAATCTACTATGGAATTTGCTAATTTGCTTTACTTACTGTTTACTGACTGCCTGCCCACCTTACATTATACTTTCAAACAAAGAAGGGATTTTTTTAAATCCATTTTGTTCACGCCASTGCTTAGAATAGTGTCTGCCACACACAATAAACTCCCAAGAGCTATTTCTTTGAAAAGAATGTTAAACTAGATGTACTTTTGATAAAACAGAATAAGGAAAAAAGAGAAGGAAGTCACAAGTAAACAATATCAGAGAAAAAAGGGGATATAAATATAGACATGGTCAATGTTATTTAAATCATAAAAGAACATGTTTGTACCCAACCAAAAATGGAAAATATGACTATTTTCTTAGAAGAGTATAGTTTCCTAGATAAGCACAACTTACCAAAACTCAGTCAAGAAAGAAAAAACAGAAAATCAAATGCAAAACTATAACATAAGGAAATGAAGCAGTCATTTTAAATATATCTATCAAAAACCTCTAACAGGGGCTGGGGTTGTGGCTCAGTGGTACAGCACTTGCCTAGCATGTGTGTGAGGCCCTGGGTTCGATTCTCAGCACCACATAAAACTAAATAAAAAATAAATGAACCATTGTGTCCATCTACAATTAAAAATATTTAAAAAMAAAAACCTCTAACAGGCCAGCTTTACAAAGGAGTTCTACCAACCCTACAAGATTTAATTTGTACATGTTGTTCCAGAGAAGAGAAAACAGAAGACAAAGCTGGGCACAGTGGCACATGCCTGTAATCCCAGCAACTTTGGA